AGGAGTTGGAGGTTGCTCTGAGCTGTGATGCCATGGCACTCTACCCAGGGAGATAGCTTGAGGCTCCGTCTAAAAAAAAAAAAGAAAAGAAAAAGTTTACTACCAAGGGACTTTTTTTTTTTTTGGCGGAGGCCAGGTTTGAACCTGCCACCTCTGGGACTTTTCAAGGAACAGAAGGGTCAGAATGTGATCAAGTCTCCCAAAGGACTTAAATTGGAAATTGGAAAACTATGAGGATTTGGAGAACATACTCTTAGCTTTCTCTCTGGTGTTTTATGATCACCCATTTCTGTTACTTGTCTGTTTGAATTATTTCTCTCAGCAGACCAGATTTCACTGCTGCTTTAGAGGATGGGAGATGACAGTTCCCCTGTTTCTTTGCCATTAGTTTTGTTATTTACATAGGCTGACCAGCTAATTCTGCATTCTTCCAAATTTTAGAAGGAGAATCTGATTGGTTAAATTTTCGTCAGATATCTACCTCTGGTCCAGTGTCTAGGGTGTAGAGGCCTTGTCATGTTATAGAAAGATGTCTCTGTTAGGGCTTACCAGTATATGTGGGTGTGTGTTTGGGGAGAATGTTATTCTGAGAAAAAGGAGAGTGTTTTGTGGGCTACCTGAAAGTTTCTACATCCAAAGACAGTTTTAGAAAGAAAATTTATAAATATAGGTTATGATTAGACTCTCTTAACAAGGATTTTCGGCCAGCACAGTGGCTCATGCCTGTAATCCTAGCATTGTGGGAGGCCAAGGCCTGTGGATTGCTTCAGCTTAGGAGTTTAAGATCAGCCTGAGGAAGAGTGAGACCCCTGTGTCTGCTAAAAAAATAAAAAAATTAGCTGGGCATTATGGCAGGCACCTGTAGTCCCAGCTACTGGGGAGGCTGAGGCAAGAAGATAACTTGAGTTCAGTAATTTGAGGTTGCTGGGAGTTATGATGACCCTACGGCATTCTGCCCAGGGCAACAGAGTGAGACTCTGTCTCAAAAAAAGAAAAAAAAATTTCAATAGGTTTCTTTTTTCACTACCATAGTATCTTAAGGTGTTTGTTTACAGATCTTTAATTGACAAGGGATAACAGTACTCATCATTTATTTATGAGTGACTTATTATGGGCTAAGCTCTGTACCAGGCATTTATTATATTCTTTACTTATTAATTATAAGTGTTATTAACACAAAAATCATTTATAGCTATGATTAACATAGCCAGAAAACATTTTTGTTTGTACAGGCTGTATAATTTAATTTCTATAGGGTGTATCCATTTAATAATAGGTATAACTAAAGTTGATTTCACAGCACGTAAAGAAGAAAATTTGTTCTGTGATTTGTTAACCTGGACTTTTTTTTTTTTTTTGGAGACAGAGTCTTCCTTTGTCACCCTGGGTAGAGTGTGGTGGTGTCATAGCTTACATTAACCTTAAACACTTGGTCTCAAGCAATCTTCTTGCTTCAGCCTCCTGAGTAGCTGGGACTACAGACGTTCGCCACAATACCTGGATGTTAGGTTGTGTGTGTGTGTGTGTTTT